AATGGTTTAGAGAGAAATTGGGAAATATTATGTTTCCAGAGTTAAAAATGAGGAAAACCAATTATTACCCCATAAAACCCCACACAAAACAATCATGATGGTCCAATCATGCCGGTTTGTGAACTCATCCCCCCCCCCCCTACATCTTCCAAAGTGAGTCAAAGTGAGGTCGGCCGTGAGAGAGCGCAGAACTAGACAGGACTTGTTGCTTGACATACCAAGGGTTGTTCTTGATGCTGGTAGAAGGGGGTTTTCTTACTTCGGGCCGGCTCAGTACAATGCACTTCCTTGTACACTAAAAGCACTGTCTTACAAAAAATTTAAAACTCGCTTGAAGAATTTGTAATTACATTTTTTTGTTTGTTTTGTAGTGTTAAGAATTTTTGTTTAGTTTTAGTCCTGACTTGAGTCAATTTGTAAAACAGTATTGTTACTGAAATTCGCTCATGAATAAAGACCTTATTTATTTATTTATCTTCAAGCCAAATTTCATAAAAAATCTGACAAAAATTACTCTATTACAATGACGGACGTATATACCTATATATATAAATCTCTATATTAATCTTCCTTTATAGATATCTTAGTGCACCTTTTGCTCGAATTCGAGCAATTTCAAAGTTACTGTATTACAGGCGTTATCTCAAAACGAATAACAGTCACAATTTCCGATGACTTAAAAGGTCATTGAGTTATTGAATCTGGAAACAAACTCACTCTGAAAACGAATGCTCACTCCACTCCAGTAATCGAAACTGAAAACAAACGCTCTTGTGTGTATCATGTGTTTACTATGAACAGCTGTAATAAATACAAATAATTTGCCTGTTTTAAGTAAATTTAATCTTTTCTTCATAAGAAATACATTGGGATTTTGATGGCCTGTGGGGCAAAGCCCGAGGTCTTTTATTACAGGAATTGGTGAAAGGGGGCGTCTACACAAAACATACTTAATTTTGACACATCGTTTGTAAACATCCGTCCATTATTAACAGAGAAGTAGTGTTTTGTAAAAATTGCCTCCACATATTATATATAAGGAAATAATAAACATTTGAATGAATAGTGTTTTTGACCTTAGGGACAAAAGAAAAAGTATATCAATCCTGGCTCCCGGTCTTACCGTGCCATCTACGGTAATAGCTACCTACTTCCCTATAGTGAAATTCGCTAAACAAATAATTTTTATTAGGCCTTATACCTGTACACATCAAATAAACCCAATGGAACAGCTCATACTACCTATCTATACAATTATAACTTTGTTTATACACACAAAAAATGGTGCAGATATATCCGCCACCGGTGAGCGGGGGAGCAAATAAATAGCAGATGTATATCCAACCCCGTCTTTGAAACCCAGGACTATTTAAGTTATAAGCGATTGTACATATCACTATTTCATGCAGTTAGACGCACAACAACTGTAGGTTTTAGCGCCAACAAAGTCTACAAGGTGTTGTTCGTGCAACATCGTGAGGGTGGGGGGAGCAAGGAAGAGGTCGGTGTGTTGCTTGTTGCTTTCAAGGTAGCAGCGGTTGCCGAGAGAGCGGGGAAGTAGCGCAGTGGTAGCCCAAAACATCTGAGTACTGCAAAACACCAGCCAGGCTGTTTGAAGATAAGGCGGATATATCCGTCTCCCTTCCGGAACATAACAACCAACCCATAAGTGGATATATCTGCCACCCGCCCTTTATTGCCAAAGACTTATAGGCAGTTATATCCGTCACCCATACGCGAAGGTCCCGGGCATAGGTCTTACCATGCCACCTACGGTAATAGCTAACTTCCCTATAGGGAAATTCGCTTAAAAATAGGTTTTACCGTCCTATGCAAAGCATTACCTACTGTACCCTCCTCAAATCCCAATAATAATTTAAGTATACACACGGTTTAAGTTACTAGTAGGCCTAACTAGTATGTTACAGTTACCGTGTGGTCGGTGTGCATTGATGTATATTTTGATTGAAGTAAGGTTGGAATGTGGTATTAAATTATGGATTTTTTTATAAGGCTAAGTTGATGCATTTATATTTAGCTTATTAACTTACATGTTCAAAGGATCTCTTTTAACACTACCTATTTTAGAAGTTTTTTTGCTGCACTTTAGTATCTGTCCTAAATTCATTCGAATGAAAAATATTGATATGTAGATTATTCAATATATTGATTATTTCATTCAGTTAGTTAAGATAGGTTAACTTAACTAACCAAATTTCGTATATAGGTATCGAAAGAAATAATTGATAGATTCATTCAAATGAGTGTAGGACAGATAGGCTACTAAGTTAAAGAGTGCAGCCTTTTTTTTTTTTTTTTTTTTTAAGGAAAGGAGAGAAAATGCTTTTTACGCACACAGGTAGGCCTACTAGTAGCCAGCCTGCAGTGTGAGACTCCTAAATTAATCAGAGTACTCGGCAGTACTGTATGAACGGTTTGGATTTCAAATACCCCCACCCTCAACGGCACAATGGTAGCCTATAAATCTGTTTATTGGTAAAACTGAACTTAAACTATACTTATGTTATATTGAATTTTATAAGTTTTTATAAGTTCAGTTTTACCGTGGTTTTACACATAACTCAGTTGATCTTTAGCTGAGCAGCTCAACAAATAGTTTAGGCTATAAGTTAAGTGATTTTAAGTAGAAAGTTTAAGCTGAGGTCTGGGTCCTAAAAAAGTAAATCACCTAACTAAAACGAATAACTTTTAAAAGTTAAGTTAAAGAAATCTTGATATAAGTTAGGCTAAGTTAACTTACCACTTAAGCTTTGCAACTTATTAAGAGGGGTAGGATCTCCTTATCACAAGTTGGGTTAAAGGCCTTAAAAGTTACCAGGCAAATTTTGATAATATATAAATCATGACCACAGCACAACTACGGGCTGCACTTTACTTAAGGTCCTACACTCATTCGAATAAAAATATCGATCAATGTATCGATTGTTTGATTCGATATAGTGATGTGCGTATCGATACAAGGACCGAAGGACCGCAAAATATCGATATAATGTATCGATACGTGGGAGTGTATCGATATGCCTGTATCGATACACCTATAGCCAATATCGTATTGAATATCGTATTGTTTATTTATTAATATAAATCTTATTTTTATGGTAAGAAATTTGTCTTCCCATCTTCCTCCCCTCAAAGTAGTAGTGGAAATTTGATATTTTACCCTAGCATCTTCAAAAACACCGATAAAACATGTATATTCAGCTATGTTTTGCAAAAAACCTCAAAACTAGGGCACGGCCGCCTTTAACTCCAGGCCGCGGCCTTCGAACTGGCAACGTCGCAAGTGGTGTTGTAACAGCTGTTTTTGTTTGGAAGTAGCTAATGGTATTTGTGTATTTACCGAAAGATTAGTTAGGTACTGGACTATGACAATATTGACTCCGCTTAAAAATGTACAGATATAGATATTAATTCATATTGTTTCGGTTTTCAATTCTGTATGTTTTATTTTCAATATTTTAATAAATTTATGTTCATAAATTTAAATTTAAATCATTTAAGTGTGAATTAATGAGCTGATGTCACCTGTCTGCCATGTTATCTTATGGGACGTCTGTCACTGAACAACATACCACTTGCGATGTTGCCAATTCTACCAGGCCGCGGCCTGTCGTTAAAGGCGGCCGTGACTAGGGCCACCATTAATGGAAGTGGGGGCCCTCATTATCCATATTATACTATTTAATGTGTAAGTAGCATACCCACCATCATTATTAGTACTTTTTGGTTCAATTAATTATCCCTGTGTAAAAACTAGGAAAACAATAACAAAATGTTTTCCAATTTTGAGGGTTTACCGGAATTTGGATGTTATGTATGTATATTTGATACAAATAAAAAGACACAGGAAGGAAACAGCTTTTCTGAGGTAAGATTACCAGCTCTAACCCTCTTTTCAAGCTTGTAAGTAGGCCTAACATAGTATTTGTCTATGCAGCTATGGTGAGTCGGTGGCTCAGTTGGTAGCGTCACGGACTTTGGGCCCAAGGCAGAAGTGTCGTGGGTTCGGATCCTGGTCACTGCCACAAACTTTTATCAGTACAGTTCACCTTCGTACTGTACCGGCTCACCCCTTGCTTTGCTGGATACGTTCCACGCACAGATCTGTAGTCTATGTGGACGGGCAAATGCAAGGTTAAAAAAAAAAAAAAAAAAAAAAAAAAAGCTTGTATATTTGAGATATTAAAATTTTAAAAAATATATAAATAAACAATACAATACAATATTTTATCCGATACAGATAAAAATCAATACATGAGGATACAATACGATACTCGTATCGATACACCACGTTCCGATACAAATCGATACGCAGTATCGATACATTGACCCGTATCGTCCGTCACTAATTCGATATATCGTTTGGTTAGTTAGTTAAGTTAGTTAACCTTAACTAACCAAACGATATATCGAATGAAACAATCAAATAATCGATATTTTCATTCGAATGAATGTAGGACCTTAAGGAAAGTGCAGCTCAACTAAACTAAACGAACTACTAAACTGGCATGGGGTAAGTTACAGTTTCTTAACTGGGCTAACTTATGCTACATTAATATCGATTGAAACTAATGAATTGAAAATATTGATTTAAACTACCATTAATTACTTAACTTATAAAAAACTGTCATAACCAAACCTTACCAATCAAACTTGCCGATAATGAAAAAATCGAATGAATGTTTACTAAGTAGGGTACCTAATCGAATTGATAGTTCCAATCGATATTACTTAGCATAGCCCAGTTAAGAAACTGTACCCCTAGCATGAACAGCCTATTTCGATTCTGTCGTTAGGCCTATCATAGAGAATGGACTAACTTATTCTTCACTGTCTTGTCTACGACTTCAGTTAGGATGTGATCTATGTAAAATATTAACTAATGCTCAACTATTACCTAATATCCTAGGGTAATGTTAAATCAATAAAAAGTTAACAAAACACAAATAAACACCTATAGGCTGAGGCGAGGCACCTACCTAATCTACACAGAAGACTTGCCGACCCGCCGACCAGAGGACACTGGACACTGACACTGGACACTGGACAGGATCAGACCAGTCCTCCACTTCCACTCTCACTCCAGTCCTCCAGTCAGTCATGGTCAAGCTCGCTCAACAAGGGCAAGTCCAAGCAAGCAAGGAAGGAAGAAGTAGGAGAAGAAGAAGAAGACAGAGAAGAGGGATGGAGTCAAACTCCAAGTCAAAGTCAACAACAGTCACTCTGACTATAGTCAGTGTAAACAAACAGCCGCGGCCAGAATTGGCCAAGTCGCAAGTGGTGTTGTCTAGCGCCAGACGTCCCATAAGATAACATGGCAGACAGAGGTGACACCTACGACGGCCTGAAGGGACACTCAGTTTCTTTTTGTCTTTCATTTTACTTCGACTTTTTTCTCGAAGTACTTCGACATTTCTATCTAGTCTAGTTTTACTTCAACTCAACTTCAATACGAATACGTTCATTCTTATCTGTTTCTGATTCTTTCTCTGTCTGCTGTCTCACTGTCTCAGTGTCTCTCGTCTCTGTCGCACTCAGACCTTAATCCTTGACAGAGTCAATATCAGAAAAGTGTTTCCTTCAAGTACGAGCTTCTTGGTATACCTTTTAAGTGTCCGCTCACTTATGCAAATGTTATGCTTCAATAAAAGAATTGCAAGTATTTCAGGCTGTTGAAGGCCTAAACTAACTTAAAATATTGTTCAATCAGTTCATTAATTTGAATTGTTGTTTCATTAATTTGAATTGTTATTTGAATTGAATTGTTGTTGATGTTGATGTTTCATTAATAATAACAAACTATAATAAGCACATTCGAGAGTAAAGTCGAAGTACTTCGAGAATAATGTCGAAGTACTTCGAGAATAATGTCGAAATACTTCGAGAATAAAGTCGATGTACTTCGAGAATAATGTCAAAGTGAATGAAAGACAAAAAAGAAACTGGAATGTCCCTTTATTGCCGTCGTAGACACCAGCTCATTATTTTGCGTATTATTCATTAAAATTAAAATTTATGAACATAAATTTATTGAAAGGTTTAAAATAAAACATATAGAATTATAAAGAAAAACAATAATTTAAATAGAAAATCAATTTTTGTAGGTACTTTTAAAGTGGAGTCAATAACTTATTGTCATAGTCCAGTAACCAAGCTTTCGTAAATACAAAAATACCATTAGCTGCTGCCAAACTAAACATCTGTTTCAACACCACTTGCGACGTTGCCAATTCGAAGGCCGCGGCCTGGAGTTAAAGGCGGCCGTGACTATACAGGATATGTGCGTTAACTGCAATTGTGCACGTAATTTGCAACACTTATATTGTTAACTATTCATTATTTTAATATATGTATTTAGCATATATCCAAATGGCGGCATGAGTTTTTAATGCATGATGCTAGACTCGAAATCTATATAATTAATACGCTACATGAAACTTTGTCGGTTGAACTCCTCCGCCATTTCTTAAGGGGGGAGTTCAAATAAAAAGTGAAAATCTTTATTTACAAACCAATTTTACTCATACTACACCTTAAGGTGAAGTTAAATAAAACATACAGAAAAAAAAACTGGAAAATTTTTTTTCCGCTACCCATGGTGGGGGGGGGGGGGGATTTTTGCGTATTGCAAGGGTTTGCGAGAACATAAATTTCTCAGGTTTTAAAAGTGATAGAGGGTTGTTTTTTTGTTTAATCTGTTCCTGAGAGTAATACCTACAATCTCTAGCATGGGTTTAAGGAAATTATATAAAATAAAATTACAGTCGATTTTTAAAATTTGAAATATTTTTTTCCCCAAAATAACTGGTAAAAACTATTTTTTTTAAATACTTTAATGGCATTATTTTTACAAATCCATGCTAGAGATTGTAGATCTTGTCAAACTGATCAAAATAAATAAAAAAAATCATCCTTCTATCTAGTACAGAACTTGAGATATTTATGTTCCCATGCGAAAAAAGTAAACTTTTGAAAAACGACCGAATACCAAAACACGGTGCTTTTAGTGATTGACGGAATGCAACTTCAAAGTATTTTTTTATGAGAAAAAAATCGTATGAGGTTGGTTTTAACTGTTATATGTTCAGAATTTAATATATAATAAAAAAATATAAAAAAATAAAAAATTGTAAAGATTCATATTTTGGCCATTTTTGGCAACGACCGAATACCAAAACACGGTGCTTTTAGTGATTGACAAAGTGCTACTTCAAAGTATTTTTTTATGAGAAAAAAAATCTTATAAGGGTGGTTTTAACTGTTTTATGTTCAGAATGTAATATATATTAAAAATAAATAAAAAAATAAAAAATTGTAAAAATTCATATTTTGGCCATTTTTAGCGTGAACTGCCCCCTTAACCGATTTTGTCCATTGACGTCTCATTGGAAAAAGCGTGTCACGTAGATTTGCAAACTGGCCTTACATTTTTGAAAAAGTCCCTTGGGCCCTGCCCCAGTGGCTTTGAAAGTTCCCATGTTATCCTTATGAAGAACATAATTGTTTACATTTTGATCAGCTGTATAATTTAATTGCTGCATTGGGTACATTTATTTACTATTTGAGTTTGTGTAAACATAACCCCCAAGACGGATCGTGTTAGTATGGTTGTATCTTAAATTTGTGTATTTATCGTTGTTTTGTGTCGCTATGGCGGGTCGTGTTAGCATGATTGTAACTTAAATTCGTGCATTTATCGTTGTTTTGTGTAGCTAGAATTTGTTTATTTGTTGTTTTTTTTTCTTTTAAATGCCTCCGACGCGACGACAACGAAACATAGACAGGAGGCGTAATCGTGATAACGTCCGCAGCTACAGAACAGTGGCGCGTAATAGGCTTAACCACGAATACTTATTGAACCTTAACCACGAATTATTGAAAATTCTTCCTGTTTGTTACCTTGTATTATTGTTGCTTTTATTGTTATTTATTATATTGTTCAATTATTGTTGTAAAATGTTATAGCTCGTTATACTGTTCAATTTTCTTGAATTTGAGATTGGTATTGTAATTTCTTCTTGTTTGTTAACTTGATTTATTGTTGCTTTTATTGCATTTTGTTATATTGTTAAATTATTGTTGTAACTTGTTATTGCTTGTTATTCTGTTCTGAATTGTTTCTCATTTTGCAACTGTTATTTTTCTTCAAATTGTTTCAATCTAAATCTCCTATGTATTGGCGTCAGCCGTTGGTAAATAAATAAATAAATAAATAAATAAATACTAGAAAAAAGAACACATCACAGTCAGCACCTGACCCTGGACAATCTCAATTATTAGGTTACAAATGCGCCCTTACACTACCCCAAAACGACTTTTCGTTCTCAATTATTAGCCCTCTATTAATGGCCTGTGTTGCCTGTACACTGTACGGCGACGCGTTTTGAGAAAGAGAAAACCGACCGGAATGCTTTAGGTTTATCAATAACGAAGATAATCATGGTCTGAGTTACACACCGGTAATCTTTGATTTGACTCTTTTAAACTCATTGTAAATATGGCTGTTATTTGTTTAGAAATAACTCCTGTAATACTTTGCGATTGCTCGAATTCGAGCAACATGTACACTAGTATGTTATAATTTATTGTATTTATTTGTTCTGCACTACTTGAAAAGCGGCCAGTTAATTTCCAAATACTGTCAATGTATGTAATAAGTTTGTATTCGATGAAAATTAATTCATTTATACAGTTACAAATGGATTGCTGCAATGAATTACTGTAATTCATTTAATTTAAATTTAGTTTTGAGTCAAACGACAGCAATTTTGGTTAAGTAATTCATATAGCCTATGTTTATGTGGTAATGGTAATGTGTAGTATTTATTTACTTATAGATATGAGTAGAAGTATTTAAAATAATGGTTTTAAAAATTTTACCCTCCCTGTTGCAGCAGACCTAAGTACTCGCGTTAAGCTAATGTTAAATCCTACTAATATTATAATTGAGAAAGTTTGGATGTATGGATGTATGTTTGTGACAAGTAGGCTAAACGCGAAAAATACTTGTCGGATTGGGCTGAAATTTCGTATGATGATAGCTCACATTCCCGATTAACATATAGACGCATTCTTATCTCAAAAATCCTATCGGGCTCCGCCCCAGGAGTAATCATATTTAAAAGGAATAAAAGAATTTTGTCAGCTATTTCAACTACACAAGTTGGTTCTATGATATTGAATAGGTAGCATTAAAAAGTTACTAAGTTTACCAACAGGGTGCAGTACTATTATTTTTTTACATTTTTGACATCTATCCTATAAAGGCCATAAAGGATATGTTTTAAAAGGCTTATGTGTAACTATTTTATCGACAGATGTAAAGATCAAAATGTTTCTATTTCGTGTTCTCTTCCCGTTGCAAAGCACGGGTACAACAGCTAGTAGGGAATAAATGTGATATTTTTAAGAAGACATTTTAGTGTATTGTTATCTTTACAGTCATCTCGTGGTATCAATTTAGGTGGAGTAAAAAGCAGACAACATGTAGATAGTAAGCACATTTTAAACCAGTCAACCAAAACATACTAATAGGTTTGCAAAATGGATATGGGTGATTGATTATTATGATAAACCAAAATATGAACGACAAAGAATATAATTACCATGGTAGGTATCCAAAATATTGTTTGGAGGCATAAGGATTGCAATATAATTGGTGTTATATTTGTCTCAGCATAGGTAATTTGAAGGGAGGTGCCTTATCTTTATTTTGCACTCAACATTCACATTGGCCTTTCCTTTGGAATTGTGCTTACTGGATTTTGAAGTCATCAAGACTACTATAACCATTACTACTAGGTAGTACTTCTTTACAGTGGTGGATTACCCATTAGGCACGATAGGCAACTGCCTAGGGGCCGCAGAAAAAAAATCAAAATAAAATAAAATTGTAGAAAAAGCTTAAAAAACTAACAAATTTTAAGCCAGTTCCTTAAAATTTCCCTCCTATACCCCCCAGTAGATCTTGCCACCCCAGTTAAAAGTCTGAAAAGATGCTCATAGGGGGGGGGGGGCAAGTTTACATGTGCCTAGGGGTCGCTGAGGTCATAATCCGCAATTGCTTCTTTACTTCTAGTACCAGTCCAGTAGTACTAGTGGTGGTGCTGTAGTACTCTCCAACCACACGTTATCAGGCTCATTCACTACCTACTTTTTAAATTTAGACATAGTAAATTTAAGTTTACATTGTACTTAAAAGCCCAAACCAAACTAAGTACAAATTTTAGAAACAACATTTTTTTACGTTTCTTTGCTTTAAAACTACTTGTTATTAACAACTGTGTGTCAAATTTAAGTTAAACTACTATCCTCATAGGGGAAATTATCAATATTACAAGATGTAGTTATAGGATTATTAAAAGACTAGCCAGTTACTGTATTGTGTGAATGCAGCTACGATCCTCATTTTGCTAATAGTGCTAAGATTTTAAGGTGTAATCAATTATGTAAAAAATCATTCATGCACGATAAAGAAAAGTTTAATTGAGACCCACATTTTTGAGATCAGATAAATTTATCAAAAAAACTTAAAATATATAACTAGCACAAGATCTTAAAAGTAAGTATGAATTAGAACAACAATATATCATGTTATCAATCATTGCGTCATTATGTAGCAAAATACAAAATCATGTAGTTAACAACGTATGTGGAAACTATATTCTCAATTCTCATATTTCACACTTTAAAAATGATAACGTCATTTATCGTTTAGCTCATCCCTATTTATATGTACATTACAGATTTTCAATAATCCCCACATTTCTCATATCAAGAGCTCTAGAAATTTGACATTTTATATTACACACTTATAACAAATCTCTTGAAGTATTGTCCAATTTCCTCCATCATATAACACTATCATGTTACTCTTCACAACTACAAAATCATTTAGTTAAGGCACTGAAAAATATCATAGTACCAGATATTATACTCCGTTCTAAAAAATTAATCATTTTGAGGGGAAGCAATTTGATCCCCTCCATAATACCCCAACTTTGTAGCAACAGCCGACAGCTGTAATATACATTACAAAAGAAATTAAAAATTGGTGGGGAACTAAGGAAACCCCAAAATTTTTGAACGGATCCCGGCGCAATAAGACCTAAACCTCAAAATCTGAAGTGAAAAGCAAAATTTTGACCCCAAACTGTTCAAGAGTCCCCGTATTTTATGGTTAACATATTTTAAAAGTTACACAATTATCAGGGTCCGGTTTGGGAGGGAGAGGGGGTTAAAATGTTAAAATCTGTAGTTTTGGAGTTTTATGAAATGTCTTGATAACAAAAATGTGTTGTAGATTATTTTTGTAAATGACATGTTTTGCATTAAACCAAAAAGTTATCAATTTAAAAAAAATCTAAAACTAAAAATTTTTCAGCTTTAATCCTCCCTCCCCGCAAAAATCTGAAGATTCAAAATGGTGTAGCTTTTTACCATACAATACAGGAACAACAGTTTTGCGTCATAAGTTACCTTTAACTTTGAAAGTTGAGGTTACGCCATTTTTTTATTCACTAATTATCGCAAGGTACTATTAGATACTCAACAATTACAGCTTACCTATTACCTGTTCACAGAGAAGGTTAACATTTTAACCACATCCTTAAGAATCTAATCAAATACATAACATAACAGATTGTTCAAGTTTTATCCTGATTGATGAGGCTGGTATTCTACCCGGCTGAGTGAGGAAAAACTGGAATGTCAAACTCCATACACACAAAGCTTAAACATTGAAACAAAATTTGAACAAGTTTTATGTCAGATTTAATGAAATGTACCTCAGAAGATTTTACTCCTTGCATTCAAAAAATGTTAACTCATAGTTAAAATTTCCTTCATGCATAACCTTATATAAGGCACATTGTGGAATCTTCATGCAATGATTTTCATCATCTGTGTTACTTTTCCAACCCTTTTCACAACACTCTACAACAGAAGCCTTTAATGTAGAAACATATAAATACTCATTTTTTTTTCAATCTTAACTCTTAAAATATATTCATTTTCCAACTTGCCAATTGGAGTTGCTTCAAAAGTAAATTTAAAATGTTCCTGGTTTAAATTATTAGTTAGGGTAATCCAGAATACCTTGTCAAACTTAAAGATGAGAAGATGTTCTATATGGTAATTTTTAGGATTAAAGTTTTTCAAAGTAAACAACATAGATGACTTTGATCCGTACTTAAAAATTTTATTACAATGTTCTTTCTCATAGTGATCCATCAGTTTTATCAAAGGAGTCACAGTGTTGCAATCGCTTTGCCTACACTCTGCAGGTCTGAAGCCACAAAAGTCTTCATGGTCACTCCCGGGCTTCAGAATGTCTTCACAACCATCTTCATGGTACTTACACTGACGAGGAAGGGCTTCCAGAAAGTTGTTTAAACTTACAGGATCTAAACACACGGTGTGTAAATGGACCTTCGCAAGTCGGGCAATTCTTTAACTTTTCGCAGCAGCAGTTACAAACCCCATGGCCTCTGCTGCATGTCTTAAATGGAATTTGGATTGTGTCCAGACACACTGAACATTCTACAATCTTTTGCAGAGATGACGTGATGTTCTTCAATGTAGTTTTAGAATTTTCCTAGAAATAAAATGAAAATTATGGTATCATATATTTTACTATAATTAGTCATTCTAACAAATGCATGGCTTAATAATTTTTAAATGTTTTCAAACACAAAAACCTTTAACAGCAAAAAGAAATCAACAGTTTCAGCAATCTGACACATACTTTCTACCATTGTGTAACTATGATAGTAGTTGGAATAACTATGATATTTTATATGGAAAAAAGTTTAATAACTTTCGAACAGTAATTTTTACAGCAATGGGTGGTTGCACTATGTTGATAAGAATTTAAGGACCATGAAATGCTAATTTCAATCAAACCCGGTTTTTTTTCAAAAATAACATTTTCTCTTATTTTATGGGTTTTATGGGGAAACACTATAATTTAGAATAACTTTTTAACCGTAGTTTCAAAAGAATGGGAGCTCTACCATTTTGTTCACAATTTAAAGGACTATAACATACTATTTTTTTTTTCAAAATCGTTCGGGTCAATCACAGGTGTAGTCCGTAGGTCTGTACACACAGAGTACATCACTTCAAACTATTTTGCGTCAAGAGGGACCCAAAACGGATATATCCACTTAAAATACAAACTCAAAAATTTTGACGTAAACAATACTTTCTCCATTGCATAGGGGAAGAAAGTAAAAAGCTGTTTTTAACTCAAGGCGATGAAACATTCATTTACATTCCTTGCAAGTTAAGTAGTTATCCTCCTATGTAGCAGGAATTCAAAAATTTTTATTCATTAATGCGATGGCAGAGTTATATTGAAGTAGACATTTGGGACTATTGGATACTAAAGTAGACATCCCATCTATATGGACCAGCTGCCACCAATCTGTAGTTGTGTGAAGAAATTCTAGAATTTCCTATAATGTCATAAATTACATTTTCTTCCTTTTTTTTGTTGCTGGTATAGGTTGATCTTGATGGATCATAATAGTTGCTATTGCTAGCAATAAGTCATTTCACTAGCTTGACTTAGTAAAAAGGTTTTATATATTCGTGAGAAACCAGTAATTTGCATCAGTACAATCGGTCAGTGGCTCACATAAACTCTGACGATTTTGATTAAAAAACTGGGGACAACTTGGGACATGGGGATGGAATGTCTAGATTGTATAAAGAGTCAAAGGTAATACCTGTAGCCATTTAATGTAAGTACAGTAGAAACTCGATAGTTCGACACTCCCTATAACTTACAGTGTAGTTTGAAACAGGCCATGGTGATATGACATGTCGACAGCAGTCGATGACGGGTTCGCCGAGGTCAAAAACTAGATCCTTCTTATTGTTTTTGTGCATGCAAAAGGCCAATACTTAAACTACCCCTCTAATTTGCACTTTTTCAAGGAGAAAAGCTGTTGAATATTTACTAGGTCTAACTATTTTATAAATTAAGAAGCCAAAGAATGTACAGTAGAGATGTAAGCTGATTAGGTTATTTATTTTGGTCAAGTTTTATACTATTCATTACATTTGTTTGGCTCATCTCGTGTTTTAAATACTTCCTATCTATAAATGTCCAATATAGGTACTGTACATCCTATAGTTCGACATTTTGATAGTTTATGGTATTACTTATTGTTAAAATAATAATAGTTGTAAAACTCTGTATATTATTTATGTCGACTGTAATGTGTATTGTGTTTGTGTTAAATGTCAACATTTCTACGAAGCCCATCGGGTGGATTTTATAATAAGCATTTGGTCCACCTAAACTTCCGACTGAAGATGGACCTACAGGTTTGAAATTAATATCGGACAACCATAATAAGGATTGCTAAGGTAAGAGTTTACGTTATCTATTTGATTATATAAGCAATCCAGAGGCTGAAATGATTGGTAAAACATCCACTTTTAAAAATTGTTTAACCTGGTTTCAATGTTATACAATCGATTGTTTTAACAGGTTCAAAACTTCATCTATCCTTTTTTTGTTTGAAAAACTCAAGGAAAGACCAAAAACTAGGAGGATACACAGCAACAAGAAAGAACACAAACATTTTGAACATTTCACCAAACTCTTCTTTAATTTAAATTTTCATTTAATAAGTCTATTTATTGCATATATTGAATAAGCAAATAACATGGATCCCTTTGTAATTTATCGGTTTACTGACAAGATGTGAATTCTACTTCAATATCTGCAACAGATTTTATAGGAAACTAAACATAATACCATTTATGGTGACCATAAGATTATTAAATTTTCTCTTCAACAATCACAAGGATAGCAACTCAATCAAGTCTGAATGAAATCTTAATATGATTTAAAAATAGTGCTAGACACAGACACGGATTAACCTTATCAGAAATAAACTCACCGACTCTGCCATGATTTGGACACAATTTTATTTCTTCCACTGGGATTGATAGTATTCTGAATTGGTCAGAAAACACATATAACTTGTAAAGTTAAGGACAGCTTACCAACTTTACTTACCAATGAAGAAGGGCTTATCCAAGGTGAGTTAATAGATAAGGTAAGTGTTGATAGCATAAATTAACACAACTGATAAGTTAAGAGAGAATTACTGGCATCAATATTTTTCAAATATCATAAAGAATGAAATAAATATTCTTCACTTACTACATCTCTTTTCAGTAAAAATGAGATCCATCCAATGTAATCAACTAACATAAACTTAATTTTGAAATTTGTTATCACAATCCTTATGTATCTATAAGTATAAAAGAGGATGTTTGTATATATATATATATTTGTTTGGCAGTGATAAACTCAGACACCGCTGAACCGATTGCCTCGAAACTTGGTACATACGTGTAGAATTTCATGGAATAGGTTTATACACCATCAATTTCGTGATCCGTCCAATCGGCTTCGCCCCAGTGGCTCTGGAGTTTCCCATGTTAACCTTATGAGAAATGGAATTAATGAATCTTAACAGCTGTTTCAATTAAACAAGTTGGTTCTGTTCTATGATGTTGAATAGCATTAAAGTTACATGGATTACCAACAGGGTGCAGCACTATTATTTCTTTTACATTTATGACAACAGCTAATTTGCAACCAAAAGGTGAGTGAGCGTAGCGAACGAACTTCAACCTGGAGGCGAGTTAGAGTAGCGAACGAGCTAACCTGAAGGCAAGTGAGCGTAGTGAACGAGCTAAACTGAAGGCAAGTGAGCGCAGCGAACGTGCTCCAACCTAAAGGTGAGTGAGCGTAGCGAACGAGCTCCAACCTAAAGGTGAGTGAGCGTAGCGAACGAACGTCAACCAGGACGTGATTGAGCCATGCGAACGAGATCATCTTGAAAATTAAACGTAACGGTACTTAAACTATAAATAGTCAAAGGCATTACAACGTCTGCCGGGTTCAGCTAGTCCATATATAAATCCCAAAGTAGGCCTACCGGGCCTACCCATGAACTTACGTGAAGGTGATTTCTACCTAACACTACTCCTCTGTTAGTAATGGATGGATGGATTTTTACAAACGATGTGTCAAAATTAAGTATTTTTTTGTGTAGACGCCCCCTTTCACCAATTCCTGTAATAAAATTCCTCGGGCTTTGTTCCACAGGCCATCAAAATCTCAATGTACTCCTTATGAAGAAAATATTTTGTTTACTTAAATATACGAATTATTTGTATTAATTGCATATGAAAACAGCTGTACAGCATATTAAACACATTGCAACCTACTCCTCCTAATTGATTGATCTCAAAACATGGATCCACCCAAAATAGATAATAAAATTCCAATGAAGTTACAATAAAACACATTTAGGCTCTACAAATAGCCATTACAACAATCTCATTGGGCCATGACAGTGAAACCACACTTTGGTCAAGGTCTCTGATGGGCTAGGCTAGATAACAATTTGGAGAGCAAACATCTCAAATCCAGGGGTTGGCTCGTGCCGGGTATGACACTCTGATAGGCCAATTAACTAAATCTACACAGCACCAATATAGGCTAAATAATATGAGATAGGCCAATAATGAGAGTCAAAATCTAGGCTACAAGTTCCTAGTCTGAAAACAGTCACTTGAATCCAATCAACTCACAATGGTGTGATGGTGGTTGGAAACTGATAATGAGTTTTTGAAGTGCCAACCAAAGTTGATACTACCAATTTTGCTGAATATTGACTATCTTCCCTCTTTATGCCTCCTTACATTCAATATCCATAGGTATTCTGAATGTCAATTCCACTCTTGAACACTTAAATCACTGGAGACTTGGCTCCCACATCCATCTCTCTCTATATCTTCCACCACAAGCACATTTTCTCCTTTTTCTTTAGCTTTCCTTCCAACAATTACTTCACACCTGGACACTGGACAGTACAAAAGAAATATTTCCTACCTAGACACCATTTAATTTTAAAATATTATTTTTGAATATAGTTTTTCTTCTTCACTAATTATATTTAATTAAATTTTAATATTCTTTTTGAAAATACAGTAATTAATAAATATTGAAAGTAATTTAGCTACAAATCATATATGAGTACATTCATGTTTTATCTCAATATCCCCTCAGAAATGATGGTATGGTGATGAGTCAACAGAACATTATTTCGATAAGATAATGAATGAATGTATGACAACTTAACTAATTTACATAAACAGAACCTTTTTTTATCTAGAATAAACACAAACATTGAAAACATAAATATAACCTGATAAAACATAACAAGAGACGTTAACACAACAAAACATGATTAATAATGTTATTATTACAAACAAACAGTGGTAAAGAACAGAAACAGTGGAAAACATAAAGTGGTTTTGTGTCTATATATTTGTAATGTGTGAGTGTGTGGGAATTAACCATTTCCTATTGTCTATCAGTCTATCACCACTGAACACACAGTCCTCTCATCTTTTATAAAAGTTTATCTTGAGCACTATAATTGTCTTTTAAACAATACGGTCATTTTCACTGAAAGATTGTTTATGCACTTGATTTTCAGAGAACAGAAAAGGGAACTAAACATTTTCGTTGTTCATGGGGGGAAAATACTTCTTGATTGAAGAAATGTGGTATGGACCGAATTCTTCTGGGTTTTCTAAACTACTAATGAAGTATGTCGATGATCCTAACACTCTGCTAATCTTGAATGGTCCTTCATACACTTCAAATAGTTTGGCAGTCTCGCCTTGCGCTAAATTTGAAAGAGGATGATTTCTTATAAGTACTAAATCGCCTGGATGAAAATAAGTTGGATGTGACTTGTTATGATTGTTGGCTATTTTATTACGCTTTTCTTTTATTATATGACATAATATCCCTTCTGTACTAACTTTGTCAAACTTTAACATTTTCTGTGAATCATTTATATTTATTATTATTTGTTCTTGATTGAAATCCATAACAGTTTTCCATGAGCTTAACACGTCCATTCCGAATATAATAGGTCTTACTAAATTGGGTACAATCAACATTTGAATGTTCGTGATTTGATCATCTATGGTGATTGGCAACATTATTATTTTTGATATTTTCTTTGATTTATCATTTACAGCGGTTTTAATACTTGTACCGACAACTGGTAGTTGTTCATGACGGCCAATGTTTATTTGGTTCTCAGAGTACCAATTTTCAGACATACACGTTACGTTTGAACCTGTATCAATAAGAGCATTTACAGAAATATTATTAATTTTAATTTTGATTTCTGGATAATGAATTGGAATTTGTTTTAATGAGCATTGTTCATTAGGACTTGGTTCTTCTGTAAATAGGAATTCTCGGTCACAATAGATATTACATATAGTTTGTTTGTCTTGGTCATCTGGTTTATGATTATTAATTTGCCTACATAATCCGATTTTGTTAACATTTGGCACTGAAGATCTGTGTTCATTTAATTTAGATTCTGATGTTGAGTGTAGGCAATTATTATCGACAGTGCCTAACAGTTTAAAGGTTCTTTAGGATCGTTGGGTTGTGTGACAGTATTATTTGGTCGACTCGGGTTTTGTTCAACTATCATATGGTAAACTTGATTTTGTTCCCTTGTAGGGTATCGTTTTCCATCGTTTTGATTACTTTGTTGTTGACGTGGATTAAATCTGTGTTGGTTTTCTGGTGGTGGTGGATCACCAGGTGGAACTCTGCGATCTTGATGTCTTTCGTAGGATCGATCGTTGGATTGAGGTATTTGACGTGGATAATGGTTGTTTGGAGTATATGCTCTGTTGTCATAATTATTTATATTTGGGTATGATCCCCTCCAATCCTTTTGGTATGAATCTCGGTGGTTTTCGTTTCTCCTCGGATGGTCATTGGTCCTATTTTGTGGATTGTTATTTTGAATTGTCGGTTTTGGTTGGTTTCGGTTCTGTTGTTCTTTGATGTCTTCTCTTAATAATAGAGCTTCGAATTCTTGTATGGTCTTTACATTTTGGACGCGTCGTGCATTTTGGATGAGTTCTTCAAAATGTTCGCACAAGCAATCCACTATTTCTTCTTCATCAAGAGGTGGTGTCAATGATTGTAGTGTGAGGACACGTTCTACGAAGTACTCTGATCGAGACAAATTTCCATTGTTTCGGTATTTTTCAGTTTCTAAACGTTTTTTTATCCCTCGCTGTGTGTCTCGACTCCAGTATTTATTCTCAAACAGGTGTTGGAATTGTTCCCAATTTCTAATGTCGCCTTTTACGAGGTTGAACCAACGTGCAGCGTGATTTTCAAGGCTGGTTTCAATCAGGTCGATGAGAAACTCTATGTTGTCAATATTTGGATCTTTCCTTAGTATACTCTTTTTATAGTATTTTTGCAGCTTAGCAATGAATTCTTTCGGATTATGTCCTCTACCATTGAATTTTGGTAATGTCATATCTGACACGATTCCGGAGTTTCCGTTACATGTAACATAGATATGTTGAGGGGACGATGTTACTTGTCCATGTTTAGTGATATTTTGTTTTATTTTAACAATCTCCTCACTTTGTTTTTGTAGATTCTGTTGAATAGCTGAAATTTCTTGACCTTGATTTTTAATAATGATCAGTGAATTTTGTATTTCATAGTCATTTTGTTTTGATTTTGCTGTTATAAGTTGTTCATGTTCCAACCTGAATTGGTTTATCTGTGAATGAATATCATATTTTTGTTTTTGTATTTCCAAATTCACTTTTTCAAGAGTTTGAGAATTATTTTGGATTATCATGGACTTCATTTCAGATTTTTGTTCTTCTAAGTCTTGGATTAAATTTTCACGTATTTTGATATCACATTCATATATTTCTGTTTTAAACGTTTCTTTCATTGTAAGGATCTCTTTGGAATGTTGAATCTGAGTTATTTGTATCTGATCCGTTTCCTTACGCATGTTTTCTTGGTTAGTTTTAACAGAGGTGATTTTTTCTTCAAGGGAAATCTGGCACTGTTTAATTTCACGCTGAATTTCTGATTTTAAATTATCATTTTGTAATTTTATTTCTGACATTTCAGATTGT